CAAGAGTTGGCCATTCAGCCCCGAGCCTGTTCTGCCCTTCAACAAGACCATGGCTGATCTGTGGCCTAACTCCATATACCTGCATTCAGTTCATATCCCTTAATACTTTTGCTTAAAAAAAATTATCTATCTCAGATTTCAAATTAACAACTGATCTAACATCAACTGTTGTTTGAGCAAGACAGTTCCAAAGCCTTACCAACCTTTGTGTGTAGAAGTGCTTCCTAACATTTCTCCTGAACTGTCTGGCCTTAATTTTTAGATTACTTTTAAAATCTTTAGATTTTAGATTCTTTAGATATTTTGTTTCACACACTTATGTATTTGCACTGCAACCTTTTATGTTTTAGTTCTAGAACCTATATTTGAAAGTTATCAGAATGCTTCTCTTGTGCTAAAGATATAGTTTGCCTAATTTCTTTGCCGTAGACTTCCCATACCTTTCAACATCCTCCAAAGAAGTTGACAGGTAGACACTCTGCTCCCAATGGTATTCCTGAGTTGGCACTGTGTGTCAATGAGCAAGGAGGGAGCGACAGGGGTTTTGGGGGGAGGGGCTGGTGGTGAGCGAGGTGGGGAAATCTGCATTATTTAAAGTTGTCTGATCTTCTTTAGCCTCCATTTATCAGCTTCTCACAGGTAGATCAGGAAGTCACACATAGCGAATTACATCTGCACTTCATACCACTACTCCAGAACATCACACGTTACATTACTTCACTGCTTCTTAAGTTATAGAGTCATAGAATTATACAACACGGAAACAGACCCTTTGATCCAAGTCGTCCGCACCAGATATCATAAACTGCTTTAGCCCCATTTGCCAGCATTTGGCCAATACCCCTCTAAACCCTTCCTATTCACGAATTTGCCTTTTGCCAAGGGTCTGTTTATGAGATGTTACTGTATTGGAACAGTTAGGTTGTAATAGTTACTGTATCTATTACTCTGTTAAGTTTTCCAATAGAGTTAAGTTATTCCAATTCCTTCTTTCTATTGTTGTGTTTTAACTATAATCCCAATGGATGAATAAAGTGTGCTTTGCTTTAAATCTGGTAGCTTGACCAACAAAATTTCATTTGGAAAGTAACATTTTACATTTACCTTTAAAATAAGAAAAAGTTAGGGTTTAGACTATCTTCTGAATATTTTGAGGGTGTTTAGTCTGGTCCATAGCAACACATACCAACACATTTAAAAACAGCTTCTTCCCCTCTGTTGTCAGACTTAAGAAGAGACCTTTCATATATTAGGATCTTTCTCTGTGCCTCCTCTATAGTTGTAATGCTAGATTCTACATTCTGTCCTATTACCCTAATGTACTAATGTAAGGTATGATTTATCTGGTTAGCACACAATGCAATACTTTTCACTGTATCTCAGTACATGTGACAATAATAAATCAAATCAAATCATTTGATCACTTTTCTGATGATCAAGAGAAGACTAAAGGAGTGGTAATTAGCTGATTGGGATTTGTTGCCTACTTTGTGTATAGGATTTGCATGAATAATTTTCCACATTGCCCAAGTAGAAGCCAAATTGCAGCTGTGCTGGAACAGCTTGGTTAGACACAATTTGTTCTGGAGCACAAATCTTCATTATTGTTGCCTGAATGTTATCAGGGCCAATTACCATTTTTTAATTATCCAATGCCTTCAGCTGTGTTCTGAAATGACATGGACTGAATCCAATTGACTGATAAGTGCCATCTGTGATGCTGTGACCTCAAGAGGTAGTTGAGATTGGCACTTGTGTCTGAAGATGGTTGTCATTACTTCACCCTTGTCTCTTGCACTAATGTGCTTGGCTTGGCTGTCATTGAGGATGTGAATATTTGTTAAGCCACCTCCTTTTGTTGATTATATCATCATCCAGCAGCCTTCATGACCATATATGGTAGGTCTGCAGAGTTTTGATCTGAATTGATGGTTGTGGAATTGCTTTTTCCACTATTTGGCATGCAAGCGGTCCTGTGTTATAGTTTCACCAGGTTGATGCCTTTTTTTAGGTATGCCTGGTGTTGTTCCTGGCATGCCCTTCTGCATTCTTCATTGAATCAGGGTTGATACTCTGGCTTCATGGTAATAGGGACATGTCGGGCCACGAGATCACATATTATGGTTGAATGTAATTCTGCTACTGCCGATGGGTCATAGTGTCTCATGGGTATATAGCTTTGAGTTGCTAGACCTGTTTGAAATCAATCCCATTCAACATATAGTAAAGCCACACAGCACAATGGAGGGTATTCATGATGTGAAGATGGGACTTGGCCTCGACTGCACAGTGGGCAGTTGTACCAAAACAGTCACAGACAAACGTATATGGTGATTGTTGAGCAATAGCTCAAGTAGATTATTCCCTCTTGTTGGATCTCCACCGGCTGCTGCAGGCTCAGTTTAGCAGCTATATCTTTAAGGACTTGGTCACATCGGTTATTGGTCATGCTATCAATCCATTCTTGGTGATGGACATTAAAATCTCCTACCCAAAGCCTTTGTCACTCTTGTTTATTCTTTCAATTTGTGTTCAACATGGAAGAGTACTCATTTATTAGCTGAGGTAAAATAGGGATGGAAGACAGTGAGGACGACTATATATGGTGATGCTGAATGCAACATTTGGTGTTAATATTACTTGACAGACAAAGGCAGTGATCTGTGTTGGAATTCTAGGTTTGCCAGATGGACTGAAAAGTTTTCTTTGATCAAAGGTACTCTACATTTCAATGTTATATTTCATTCTGATAAATTGGAATTATCCATAAATATATTCATTGATATATAATATCTTCCAACTGCAAGATGTTTGTCAACCACAAATAAAAAATACTCTGTCATCTACACTACTGTCCTATCCCACGACACTCCATCATGGGATCTTTCTTTGGCCTCCCTTCATCCTCTCCCTTCCGTTCCATTTTCATGCGTTCCTCCTTCCTGCATTCCCTTCCTTTCCCTCCCATTTCTCTCCCTTTTCTCCACTCAATCCCTCAATCTGCTCTCTCCCACCTTTTCATCTCTAACCTTTGTTCATTTTAATTGGATTGAAAAGGTAAATAGGACAAACCAATTGGCAAGTGAGGAGCTTTAAACACAGGATTAGGGAAAAGTAGTATGAGAGCCCATGGTCAGACCACCTCCGGTTATCTTGGGGTTTGAGGTGGTACTATGAAATCACTGTGACATTTTACCATTAGCTTCAAGGTGTTCCAGAAACTTGTTCAAAAACAAAATTCAGTTTTATACCCATACATCCTCTGGGTGGATTTTCTTGGGTGCTTACAATGGCATTTCAGTATAGCTAGGGCAGGCCAGGAGAAAAGAATGGACAGGAAACCAAACATAACCTTGGACCTACAATACACTTGCTCAAACTTAGGCACACACTTATTATAGGACATATACAATGGAATGACCTATTGCACATAGTATCTGACTACACCAATGATGAGGGCATAGTTACGTTGTGATCATTCAACTAAGCAAAAAAAAAATTCAAACTTCAATATCCTTTTCAATTTTTGCATTTCCTGGTCAGCATTTATGATATCTGTACACTGCAGCAAAGAACTGAAGCAATTTTCAGCTCTGCACTTGGATTTTGCAACTTATAGTGCATTAAGTAGTTGCAGCTCCTTCCATTGAAATGTAAACATGTGAAGCCAAACTACCATCATGATAAAAACAAAACCCAACAACCTTTAATTTTGAAAGAAATTCTTCAGGGTTCTCATCAAGTATGGAAACAATTAAAGCTGACAGATAGGGAATGTATGTGGGACTGTTAATAACATATTGAAACAACAACATTTATCTCACACTTTTAAAAGGTCCAATGGTGGAAGACTATCTCGTTGACCTTCAGAAGGTTGTGCTAAAAGAATGGAGACTGAGTTAGAAAAGCAGATATTTCAGAATTGCCATATCCTGACAAGTTGAATGAAAACAAAATCTTATTAACTTCAGAGATAGTAGGAACTGCAGATGCTGGAGAATCTGAGATAACAAGGTGTAGAGCTGGATGAACACAGCAGGCCAAGCAGCATCAGAGGAGCAGGAAAGCTGAC